TCCGCGTTATTAGCGTTGTGTTATGTAACATTATTTAAAATAAATCGGTTAAGAATGAAAAAAATTAATTTTTTTAGGAAACATTAAATATGCATACAAATATACGAAAATCAATGAAAATCGTCGAAATATGCACTTTTTCTCTGAAATCAACACATTATGCAAAATATGCATTTTCAATTTTTAATTTTTAAACTCAATATTGTATTGCTTGGATTTCTAGTTTGATGTGCTATAAATCGTTTGAACAATATGCAACTCCTTTAACTTCCGAGTCCTAATAATAACATATATGCGTTACACCGTTACATTAGAACTGTTCACATTACATTTTGTTTAAAACCGTACTACTGTTTGTATTTTTTTTTCTTGTCTTCTGTATGCTATAATAGTTGAAAGTTATGATACCAGTATTTCGCAAAGATAACTACAAATTTATCTAGGTAAAGATAAAAGATAAGACAATATTTATCTGGATAAAAAAAAGATTAATTTATTTTTATTTTATTAATTAATTTACACATTGTTTTTATAAATTTACACTTGAAAATTTTAAATTAAATTAACTTCGATCTAATAGATACTTCCAATATAAATAATGAATAAAAAATATTTACATTTATGAATGGGAAATAAGTAATAAATAATAAGTACTTAGTTTAAAAAAAAAATACATTCTTTGTAGGTAAATTATAATTTTATAAAACAATTCATTACATATAATACTTATTAATTAATATTTGTGGTTAAAATATTAAAAAGTTAATTCAACCATTATCTGTATTATTTAATTATATTTCTGAGGAATCAAATACTGTAAGAGTCACTAGAAAGCATTGATTGAATAGTCTTTATTAAATATGTAAACAGTTCTTAAAAATAATACTTATAGGCACAATTTAAACAGTATAACATATATTGCAGTAAAACAACTTTTAAAAAATAGTAATTATTTATAAAGTTAATAAAGATTTCTTTAATTTTTAATTTTTATTAGTTTTTAACTTTCAAGTTAAATTTTTCGAATATATTGAATAAATATACTCGTATTTATATATATATAGATGAATTACGATAGATAACTCAAGAAATTATCAAAGATAATTAATCATTTATCTAAATAATGCTAAACACTGAATACCAATAAGAAAAACGATAAAATCAAACTCAATAATAGATAATATAATAAACATGAGCAATGTCATATGCAGTTCTTCCATAGGGTATACTTCGTATACACCGTATAATCTTAATATTGTTTTGAAAACTCACGGGTATAATACGTCAGTGCATTTTTTAAGAGATTTTCACTGATCGACAAACCATTTTTTTCTCAAAATAGTCGATTTATAATGGTACGATTGTAGTATTTCATGTTCGCTCCACATAATTATTAAAAATAAATTTTAATGCTATTAGAAAAATGAAATATTTATAACATGACAACATGTTGTATTATTTACAGATATGTATCTATTGTACATTACCTGGATATTACTTTTTACCATACATAAATTTAAGACAATAAATAAAATCTTCTTTTGACAATTTATTGTTTTTTACCTAGTCCTTCCAAACACCACGATCTATACGACAAAATATTTTTACTGGATGACATTTGTATCACCTAGTTAACTAGTTTAAAAAATGCACTACGTATATTCTCAAGTCTACAGCACTTCGTGTATTGAATGTAATTAGTTTTACAGTTTTTTATTTCAGCCTTATTTTGTAATAGACTTTCAGTTTCCCGTCAAACGGTTAGCATCCACGACGTTATCAATTTATTTTTTATTTATATTTTTTTTTTTTTTTTTGTAAATATTTACAACCTTTTCTTACCACCACCGTTTTTATATCATAAAAACGTCCGTATTCAGACGTTCGTCGGCGTAGTGCAGGCAATCTAAACAAAATTTATGAGAACATAAGACTGGTTATACGTCCCGGACCACCTAGTCTGGATTAAGAGGGGTCAAAAAAAAGGCCGGTAAATAAAGGGCTATCTGGCTGTAATACGCGACTAACCGTAACAATTATAAATATTACGGCATAACCGCAGTGTATACGTAATTTAGTGTATAATTATTGCCGTCGTGCGCGCACAAATTCGGTTTCGTTAAAGATTCCGTTAGCGAGATAAACCGAAAACCTAAACTCGTATCGTACCAGCTGCTGCGGCGGAACGCGCGAACCATGTACACGGCTATTATACATCCGTGAGGATGAAAACATTTAACTACGGCGGTGTCGGGTCACAACGCCGATATCGAATGGATTCAACTGATAATCTTTAGACACTTATTATAATAGTCCCAATTAAAACGACGAATACATAGTAAACGCGTACAGGCAGATAGCGGCCCAAGATTGTAAGTCGGTTCCGTGCTCCAACACGTTTTTGTGTAGCCGGGCTAAACGTCTTTTTTCTTATCTTAAATCTTGTTAAATTACGCATCTAATCCGTTTCACAACTTATGGACAGATCGATGTAGTCAAAAACACAAATCACGTCGCGATTGATCTCATTGCGCAGTACGTATAGAAAAACTATAAACCGTTTTCTACAATAATGGTTCGTAATTTTGTAAATAATTATCCGAAAGAACGACTCATACTCTTGCGTGTAACCATACATTTTACGCGAACAACACGACGTGTTTTCTAAAAAGATGTTCACAGAATATTTTTAAAAATAAGACTAATAAATAAATTTTAGTTTTATTGTGTAAAAAACAAGTGGACGGAATAAAAATTTATAAACTGATTTCTAACAAAACCTAGAACAGAGGTACAAATCAAAGTGTGTTCAAAATTAAAATTAGATAATCAATTGTAAAGCTCACTAAATAATATTTCTCACGCATCAATACAATCTCCAGTTACATAGTTGTCAAATAAATTGCCTAGTCATTGCCCCTTAACATCTGTTTTGTTTAATTTTGGTAATCTTTGCACATTTCATCGGTATTATAATTATAATTTTGATTCGGTCTTATTTCTTGATTAAGTACACAAATTACATGAGGTACACCATTGAGGTATACGTAGACACGCCAAGTCACTAAAAAAATGCTCAAAACAGGAAAAGCGCATGATTATAATTAGTGATACGTCGAATTTAATTTTTTTATGTTGAACCGAACTTTGTTAAAGTATTACAAACCCGAACAAACGAACTATTAAAAATTTTTATTGAACTAACATTCGAATTCATAATTTTTGTTCCTTTTATAATTAGATTGAAATTATGAAAATTTTACTCACAATGTACAACATTTAATGCATCTAAAAATATATAATAAATTATAATAATTATTTATTAACATCAAATACTGTTATTTCTAATAAAATTTTTAAAAGTATAGAGGTCATTTAAAAAACTTCATAAACACATTTATATTTTTCCTTTTCACTTTTCCAAAAGTAGACTTGTGGTTTTGATCATATTATCATAAATAATATGAAAAATATTTTGTGGTAATATTACCTAAAGATATTTATAAAAATAATCATATGTTTCAACACGGAATTATTTTATTTTATCATACTTAATCGTAATAATATAAAAAAAAATAGTTAATACTATCTTGATAATGAATATAAACTATAAAATATAGAAAATTAATTTTAAATTGTTTGATTAAGAATATTTTCAAGTTCAAATTTTGAACATACCTGAATGTTAAATAGTTCGGTTCGACCAGGACCGGCACTACAAATTACGGGGTCCCGTGCAAAATAGTTGAAATAAAATAATACACAACAATTAATATTTGATACATACTCTTTATTTTTTAGTTATATATATATATATAAAATAAATGTATACAATAAAATAATATATTATTTATTATTGATTATATATATTAGAACGATTTTTTTCTTGACTTTTCGCTAGGATCTGTAGTTTAAAATATTATATTTTTATTAATAATGTAATATTTTCTAAATTATAATATTTATTCAGTAAAGATTTGTTTTCCGCGGGTCCCTGTGCAGCTGCACCGGTTGCACTACCATTGCGCCGGCCCTGGGTTCGACATTCGAACAGTTTGATCTATCAATAATTATAATACCTACTTGGTATCTAAGTATAAATAATAAACCTACTATTTCTAAATAATTTTATATTTATAATTGTTACAAACTTTTTACCGAAATTATGACTTGCATATTCAACACATTATATTGTACTTTTATACTGTTATTATTTATATTATATTAAATATAATTATTTATTATGAGAAGACGTGAATTTATTTTTGTTGCTCATCTTAAGGGAACATAATTTATCTGATTACTGAATTTGCCAAGTGCTTAGCAATACTTTATATGAATTATCATTTTAATAAGACCGAATACCTCCTGTATACTAAATGAAGGGCTAGTAGTGAGATCTAATGGTTTGCATTGTTTTACAAATTATCAAACTTTTACACTATTTATGATTTTTTTAGCAATATTCAAACACTTTTTCAACATTTAAACGTTTTAATATACATTTAAGGAAATATCAATTAGATCAACAAACCTAAACGTTTCAAAGTTTTTTTTGTTAAAAATCATTAAACATAATTATAGTAACTTATCATTTATAAAATAGTTTAGAATTAAATATTTACAAGACATGAAATCTGAAGGATAATTACAGAAACAAAAATATTTAAACAAGGTACTGTTTAAAAATTATAAACTAGGTACGGTCAAAGTATTACATCGTATTTTGTGAAGTTGTTTAGTAATTGCTTACTATATTAATATATTAATATTACTTATAGTAAAATTACTTTGTGAAGTAATTTTTGCTCTTTATTATTGTTTATAATTATATAGTTAGCAAGAAATAAAAATATAAGAACTAATTATTATTTATAAATTACATTTCCAGGAGGTAAATTAAAAAAATTATTCTTTTCTAATTTTGTTGAATACATATAAAGATTTGAACAACGAAAAAAAGTTTCAAGTATAATAATAAAATACCACTAAACAAGATAAATTGAATTTATCTACTTTTCTTTATTAACATAAACATTATATAAAAATAAAATATACTACACATCATTTCATGAAACCAACCACTTTCTCTTTTACACATTTTCAATATAAATTTGACAATTAAATCTTACACGATGAGAGACGATATCAATAAACAACACAATATTATATACTAATTTTAAATATTAGGAACAATAATCGGATGTCAAACTTGCATTCAACGCAGTCAATTAAAATTCACTCAACAATTTTTCTCCAAATGTAGTATAATACTACAAATTAATGTTTGTTGTTGTCACCCTGCATTTCAATAACCAACTTCTCAAATTTATATAATTCACCCACAATTGCCTGGAAAAAAAAGAGAAAACAATTTAAATTAATACATTCCAATGTAAGCTATCAGTATATGACTAACTTAAAAATAATAGAATATTATATGTTAGACTAGTCAATTTATAACCATTTTAACTTTTTCTTATTTATCAATATTTTACTTCTATTTTATTATGGACAATTAATTTATGCTATAACCAATAGTTTAAATAAATCAATTTCTTAGAAAGCATTCAAATTTGCCACTTAAATCTTAACTTTACTCGGCAAACATAAATTCAATTGTGATTTAAATTATAAAGAAAAGAGAATATAATATTTTTCTATTATAAGCACTAGGTATATAAAATTTATTGACATAGATAATATATTTTTTTAATTATAAGATTCTAATCTAAATTATTTAATGGCATTATGTTTTTCTAAAGAAAAAACATTAAATTACTATTAAATGTGCATTAATAACTATTTTAATTGAAAACATAAATAATGAAAGATAAATTATTGTAATACAATTTGAAGTAGAAACATAATAAACTGGAAATTTATGAATTGCTTGATTATATTTTGATAGACATATATTTCTTATACATCTATTTATTTATTTTATTTTTCAAATGACATTATCGGGTTATAAAAATAGGGTAAAATTACAATAGAGATGGTAAAAATATTAATAAACTTAAAATAAATTTATTATTTCCTAATATCAAAACAAAGTTAACTCATGGATTGAAATTTGATAACAACTGACAATAAAAATTATATTTTTTTATTATTCAATATTAATATATAAAATATAGTTAATAATAATAATATTAACACCAAGATTGTATATGAATACTTCATGTAGTTTTGATTTATCGTTAATATAACTAAGCTTGTTTGGTTTAAAAAAATATTAAATATTATTAAAGAGAACAAAATAAAAATAAAATACCAATGGATAATACTTAATTATAAAATAATTATGTAACATCGTTAACTATACTTAATGAGTTTTCGAAATTTTTGATCAAAAATATAAATTAAATATTGTTATTTACTATTTAGGTACAATGTAATTTTTATTTTTGGAATATGAGTTTATAATTGCTTATTGTTGTTTACAGTTCAAAAACCAAATTCACTGATTAAAATTTAATTGTGTTAGATAATTGATACTTAGTATAAAGTCCTTATATGATATCAAATGAAAATTATTTAAAGGGAATTTAACTAAAATGTGAAGGAAGAACATATATTTCTTTAAGAGTGTACATTTTAAATTAAAAATATCTTAGGAAAAAAAGATACTAAAAAGTGTTAAAAGTTCAATAAAGACAGCACAAATATATTCTGGAAACGAAACCCGAATATTAGAACCATAAAAAAAAAAAAAACTAAAACTAAATAAGATCAAATTTGTCACACAAGGCTTACTCATGATTATTTTATGGTAAAAGTTGACCCACCAATATGCCAATCATGTGGGACCATGTTCACAATGAAGCACATCTATAAGTAATGCAGAAAGTATAAAAAAACTAAGAGGGAAACTCAACATAAGCCATCTTATCGGAACAAGTCTAGGCCCATATCCATACAAAGAAGGTTACACAAGAGAATTTTTCAATTTAATCAAAATACTAAACCAAATATAGCCAACAATTGTAAAGTACACAATAAAATAATTAATTTAAACTGTATTATTTTATTTATTTATTTTTACAAATGTAATACTAATGGCCTAGTGGTTGAAGTAGAAATTACTAAAATTTCAAGAGCCATAAAATAAATTAAAAATAAGTGTTATAATAGAATAAATGTAGATATTGTGTTTATTTTCATAAACATTTTTCAAAATATTACTTGTCGTTTGATGATGTTCAAAAGCCTATGTGCTTCGTTCATGTTTCGTTGGATTTCCAAGGGGTCGCTCATTGATTTATGCTCCCTGAATGAGTCCCTCACACGTCGCAACGCGTACATCCTGCAGATTAGATCAAGAAAAACACAATGTCAGTCGTAAAAACGAGAATGGTAATAAAGAAAAATAACAACGTTGATGCCGAACGTGTTACCTATAGTTATAGAATGAGAACTTGCTGCTTTCCCGCAACATGTTTTTGTACATTTTTAATACATCAGCACGTGTCGCTGCCATCACGACGTAGAGAAAACGGTTCTGTTGCACTCAAAATACACAGTTGTCTGCCAGCGCTCACGTACCAGTCAGAAATGAATACGGACAGTTTTCAGTTCAACGCTAGATATTACATCAATTGTATTACAACGAGCGGTCCGGCACGAACGGGAGCCGATAACGTTTTCCAAGGAATGATAAAATTATATCGTCGGTGAATTGATAAGAGTGTTATCGCAGTAGTACACAACCATAACCATAAATAATAATATATAAATAGGTATAATAAAATCTGTGTCTATATTAAATGTTTATATTTTATAATCCAAGTTGTGATATTCTTTTTATTCAAAAAATATAGTTACAGTTAAATATAGTAAGTAATTATTTGTTCTAATATATTGTTTGTTTATTTGTCATACAATAACAATTATGTTTTATAATTTAAAATATATATTGTTAAATCAAGTAAACCAAAGGTAAACATGTAAAAACTGTATATACCAGATAGTGTAGGTAGTAATCATAGACTTATACAAGTTTTATAAAAAAAAAATGGTAGTAATGTAGTATACGATATTAATACTCGCGAGCAAAGCGAGCGCGTTATATTTTTAAATTCTAACGAAGTATTCAGGGTGTTAATAATGATATGGTATATGTGGTAATTGTGGTAATATTTTTATCACGAAATGGTAATACGACATTTTGAATTCGGCAACACTGGCCGGCTCTCAAAATCTAAAAATTTGCAACGGGTGCAAATCAATATTTATTTATTTTTTCGACGTACAGATCGTTTTAACGGAGTTAGAACAACGACAACATGCATCGTGCTGAGTGCGAGAAAACGTTTTTTTGGATCAGAAGACGAATGCGAGACGGTTTTGTTTTATTCGATCCGTGAGGATGTAGTTTGTTCGAAATGTCTCCGGATCCGTTTTAAAATGGATTGAACGGTTTGTATTATTCGTATAACATCGCGTCCAGTGCCGTATCACTCGAAAGTTCGCCAGATCACTCCAACCAAGAGCGCTGGTCAACGCACAGGGACGTGAAATCAATTGACCGTTTACATATTTTGGTCTTCGTTCGCTAAACGGATTTCATACGGTAGTAATCGGAATTATTGTAATAAATGTTAAAATAATACTGTACAACGGTTTCGGAGCGACGGAACGTCGTAGCTAATACCGCGATATAATTTACGGTTGTTTATGACTGTGTTGAAAATTGCCAAGTCTAATAAGAATATAAATAATTGTGTACCAATACGGCTTGTTTGTGTTAATTATTATTCACTCCATTTTGCCGATTTATCTGATAACACTTATTGTTTCGTCGACATACCCGCACGTAGGAAAACAGACAAATTTCTGTTGCATTTCTAGATTTTCGTCTTTTTCAATATTGATTGCGATGTCCTTAAACGATGATGAATTGAAAAATGATGACGTTTTTAAAGTATTAAGCAGCCTCTATTTTTCATTAAAATTCGTAATACACATTTTTTATTGTACAATGATATGATACAAAGCCTCTCTTTACCCCCTTTCATATGATTATAATTTTTAATACAATGTCAATAATAATTTTTAATAATAGTTCTTTTTTATTAATTAAATTGTGCATCATAATTAGGTAACTACCTATCTGTTATTATTTTTTAAACTGAAAATATACTTTTGTCTGGTATAAATATGAAAACTATTTACAAATTTTTACTTTAATGTGAGATATATAACTTAAAATTTAATAGATATATTTAAGCCCTCATCGGCTGTTTTGCTTAAACTGGCTTTCTGAAAAACATCTTCATAGTAATCTTATTTATTAGTACTTAGTAGGTACATACTTCTTGAATCCGTTGTGCACACTTCCAGTTTCGGACTAAACACTTTGTGTCGGGGCTCAATAAAAAATAGGGGCTGGAAGAAAGAATGGCTTGTCATATCAATATTCTTAAATTTAACCTGTCCTTATTACGCACGCCTTGTATTTTATGTATATTAAATTGTTTTCAGATGTCTGTGGAGTAATTAACGACTTTTATTATCGTTGCACTATCTTACAGGATAGTTGAAAAATGATCAATTACTGATATTGGACATTACCCAAGTGAGTGTTTCAAATATTTCTTTAGTTATATCTTACACTTATGTATACATTTTGCATTGGCTGGTTTTTCTTATTAAAGTTCATTTATTTTTATTTATATTTAATATTTGCAGTGAAGAAGCCAGAAACATTAACATTTGTAAAGAGACATATAGCTGAAGCTAAAAATCATATAAAGATTGCTGATGATTAAAAATGAGGTATTATATTGGTAAAATGAGTAATTAAGAACTTAATAAAATATTTATACTTCACAACTGGGAAAAACTAATGGTATAGTAATTATGGGTTTATTCTAAAAGACAAGAGTAAGGACAACCAAATAAATAGTTATGGTACACATTGGTAAATTTAATAAAACAAGGAGTTACTCTTTCAACTTATACAAGTGCTTTCATAGTCTGCAAAACAGATTAAAATAGTGTAACATTCATTTACGACTCAGTCACTGAAGTTATATTTTTAATTTTTTTATTTATTGTATGTAATCATCATAAATTAACAATATATATATATTAACTTATATACTATTTTATAATTATCAATCCCTTTTAAGCTAAGCTTGTGTTAGAGATTGAGAGTATACCTTTTATAAAAAAAAGATTTAATAAAGATTTATTAAATTGTGTACATTAAAAAATATTCATATATAATAGATACAAAAAAAATATATAAGTAATAAAAACAAAGCAAGTTGTTAATTATACACTATTCAATTTTTTGAATTTTTACCTAATATATAATAATAATGAAGTAATACAAAATAAAAAATAAAAATACTAATTTAGACTAGTTCTAAAAATAACCAGTTATATATAATATTTTTAACATTTCCTTGATGTAAGTGATAAGATCCTTCATGTAAATGAATATTTTTTTTGCCTCTTAAGGCATTCAATTAAAATAGGTAGGCCCCAAATAGTCAAATGATTGATCAAAGGATTTTTTTGAGCATTTAACAGGAATGTTATAAACTCTATTTTCTCTTTTGTTTTCATGAAAAGGATTACTGTATTTTTTTATTAGATGTTTAACATTAAACATAATTGCAATTTTTTTATAAACTGATTCTACTGGCCCAAATCTAAGTAATCTTGTGTACACGCAAGATGTATTTTTAATTATTTATTACCTAATATAAAACCAAGTAAAATATAATATATATATTTTTTGTAGCAATAGGCCAAATAAACATAAACGGAGAATAAGTATTCATACGTATTGGATTAATTGAATGTATCATTAAGTATAATCTGGTTATGGAAACATTTTCTGTTAAATATAAATACAGTCAACTCGCGGTATAACGAAGTTCGATATAACGAAAACCTCGATATAACATATAAAACTGTTACACCCTTGAAAGTATCGTGATATAATGAAAAATTAAATGTATTTTGGCTCCTCGATATAATGAAAATTTTTTGGCCAAAGTTTACGCAATGTAACGAATTTTTACAATTTTGGAGATTGATACTACACGTTTTACAAGTTTGTTTCAGCTGTTATTATGTGATAAGATAATGTTTATGTATCGTTTATACAACACACGTCTGTTAAATTTAAATATAAATTTGTTGTTATCGACAAAGTTTTGGCTATTTGTGGAGTTCTCAATGACTATGAGATTTTTCGAATAAAACTGATGACGAAGAAGAGTGTTCCTAAGATCGTTAGCTCGAATGAAGCATAATTAGGTCTCCCCTCCATCTTAAATTTTTTACAAAAACATGATATTGATGACAGTGTATTTTGTAATATTCTAAATTTGGACAACATTAATCGTAAGTGCAAGTTATACACAATAAAAAAAAATTACTAATTTTTTAAAAAAGTAAATAAGTATGTATGTAATAAACAAAAAATATATGAATGTATCTAATAAAATATTTAATAATAATCTAATATGTTTGTAGGTATGTAAATATAAAAATCTAATAAAATCTAAATTTTCTTTTAAATATTGTTTAAACAAATTTTTTTGATTTGTACTTTTGATATAACGAATTTTGATGTATCGAACTTTCGAAATAACAAACTTTTTGCTCGGTCCCTTGAAATTCGTTATATCGCGAATTGACTGTAATATACCTATAACTACTTATATAAAACTAAATTCTCTTTTTTTAGCTTGAGTCATTTTTAACCTAGTCATGCATTTTCTAAGTTATGTTATTATAATATATTACTTTAATTCTATAATTCAATTTGAATTAATCAGATAAATTATTATTTATATTTTCTTAAAGGTGGTTTTCCATTAGAAATGTATTCAATAATACAATGTACAATGTACAATGTATAAATAATCACTTAAAGTTTCCTCTTACAACCAATTTCTAACAAATATATATTGTTTGATATACATATATAAACAATATTAATGAAAAGCTTTTAGATAAAATGTATATATATATATATATATATATATATATATATATATATATATATATATATTTATTACTTAAAATATTAATTATTATTAAAATAATTACAAATTACGAGTTTATTGTAGATAAAAATATAACATTGAAAATTGTAACATACCTACAATGATACACTTTTAGAAACGTATCTTCATGTTGGATACTCTTAATAGTTAATAACTTAAGTATGTTTTTTTTATTTTTATTTTTTTAATGTTGGTTGTGCTAACTTCTTTGAAACCATAAATATTAATTTTATATTATTTTATATATTTTTTGTTTCGTTATAGTTTGTAAGAAGACAAATATCTTGGCTGAAGAATCTCTACAACTGGTATAATGAAACATCAAATGATTAATTTCGGGTCAACAAAAGTTACAATTTTTCTGTCATAAACAAAATCACTATATAATCATCAAACAAACATCATCATAATAATCAATTATTCTGTTATGGCTCACATATGAAGACATGTTTCTACCAATTGTAACACTTAATGAAAAATTAAGTTTTATTAAGTTAATCATCATAAATTGGTTTGTCTAGAATACCAGAAATGGAAGTTGAAATTAGTAAATCCATATACTTAGTAGTGAATTCCATTACAGCAGATGAATCAGATAAATCATTAGATGA